AAGAACATCATCATCAAAATGCAGAAGGTTCAAGACAAAGAGAGAATCTTAAAAGCAGCCAGAGAAAATCAGTTAGTTACCTACAAGGGAGCTCCCATAAGACTGTCAGCTGATTTATCAAAAGAAACTTTGCAGACCAGAAGAGAGTGGCAAGAAATATTTAGAGTGATGAAAAGCAAGAACCTAGAACCAAGATTACTCTATCCTGCAAAGCTGTCATTTAGAATTGATGGCCATATAAAGAGTTTTCCTGACAATAAAAAGTTAAAGTAGTTCATCACCACAAACCGTTATTATATGAAATGTTGAAGAGTCTGCTTGAAGAAAAAGATAAAATATATGAACAAACAAAATGGCAATGAATACATATCTACTGACAATGGAATCTACAAACAAAATGAACAGGGAGAACAGAAACATTCTCATAGATTCAGAGAACATTTTGTTGGTTGCCAGATGGGAGGGGGGTTTGCGGGAATGGGTGAAAAAAGTGAAGGAATTAAGAAGAACAAATTGGTTGCTAGACTGACAAACCTCAAAAAGAAGGGGGGTTTGGAGGTGGGAAGAAATAAACCAAAGAATTTATATGCATATATGCATAACCAATGGACATAGACAACAGTGTGAGAAAAGGCAGGAGGGGGGCGGGAGTGGGGAGGAGGGGGTTAATGGGGGAAAAATGAGGCACATCTGTAATACATTCAACAATAAAGATAAAAAAAATTAAAAAATAAAAAAGAAACATTGATGGGAGAGAACATCAGTTGGTCACCTACTGCATGCCCCCACAACCTGGGCATGTGTCCTGACTGGGAATCAAACCGGCAACCTCTTGGTGCATGGGTTGATGCTCAACCACTGAGCCACATTGGGCAGACTCCTTGCCAGGTTTGTTTTTTTAAATCTTCACTTGACATTTTTCAATATTTTGTTCAGATAGAGTAGGAGGGAGAGAGAGAGAGAAACATTGATATGAAAGGGACACATCAAGTGGTTGCCATCCACATGACCCAACCAGGGCCGGGGACAAACTGCAACCGAGGTAGGTGCCCTTAGTGGGAACTGAACCCAGTCTCTCTGGACCGCAGGCCGACGCTCCAACTGCTAAGCCAAACAGGCCAGGACTCCTTGCCGGGTTTTGATATCAGGGTTATGTTGGCCTCATAAAAATGTGTTAGGAAGCATTGCCTCTTCTTCAATTTTTTGGAAGAGTTTGAAAAAGTGTGTATTAAATCTTCTTTGAATATTTAGTAGAATTTACTAGTGAAGCCATCTGGTCCTGGACTTTTTTTGGCAGGGGGAGCAGGGTATTGATGGTTGTTTCAATTTCCTTACAGTTGCTCCGTCTATTTTTTTTTTTTTTAATCCTCATCCAAGGACATTGTTCCATTTTTTGTTCAGATAGAGTGGAAGGGAGGGAGGGAGGGAGAGAGAGAGAGAGAGAGAGAGAGAGAGAGAGAAACATCGACATGAAAGGGACACATCGAGGGGTTGCCACCCGCACGACCCAACCAGGGCTGGGGACAAACTGCAACCGATGTACGTGCCCTTAGCAGGAACCGAACCTGGGTCTCTCTGGACCGCAGGCCGACGCTCTAACCGCTGAGCCAAACCGGCCAGGACGCTCCGTCTATTTTGATTTTCCAGTTCTTCATGACTTAATCTAGGAAGGTTATATATTTTTAGGAATTTATCAATTTCTTCTAGGCTTTTGAATTTAGTGGCATCTAGTCCTTCATAGTATTCTAGTATGATCCTTTGTATATCTATGATGTCTGTGGTGATTTGTCTTTAATTTCTGATTTTGTTTATATGAGACTTTTTTCTTTTTTCCTTAGTAAGTCTAGCTGGGGATTTATCAATTTTATTAATCTTTTCAAACAACCAGCTCTTTGTTGTACTAATATTTTGTATAGTCTTTTTGTTCTCTATTTCATTCTATTCTATTCTCATTTTTATTATTTTCTTTCTTCTGCTGACTTTGGGTTGCTTTTGTTCTTTTTCTAGTTCTTTAAGATGTAATCTTAGGTTGTTTATTTGGGATTTCTCGTTTCTCGAGATAGGCCTATAATGACATAAACTTCCCTTTTATTACTGCTTTTGCTACACCCCAGAAGTTTTGATATGTTGTACTGTCTTTCTCATTTGTCTCATAATATCTTTTGATCTCACCTGTTATTTCTTCTTTGACCCAGTCATTTGATAGTATACTGTTTAATCTCCTCATATATGTGGGTTTCTTTACTTCCTTTTTATGGTTAATTTTTTTTTCTTATTTTAGAGAGAGAGGAAGGGAGAGAGAGAGATAGAAACATCAGTGACAGAGAACATCAATTGGCCGCCTCCTACATGCCCCCGCACTGGGGATCTGGCCCACAACCTGAGCATGTACCTTGACCAGGAAACAAACCAGCAATGTCTTCGTGCATGGGTTGAAGCTCAACCACTGGGCCACAGTAGCTAGGCTTTATGGTTGATTTTTAATTTCAAAGCATTGTGGTCAGAGAATATGCTTGGTGTGATTATAATCTTCTTGAATTTGTTGAGGCTAGTTTTGTGAGCCTACATATGGTCTATTCATAAAAATGTTCCATGTACACTGGAGAAGAATATATAATCTGACATTCTGGGATGAAAGGCTCTGTAAATGTCAATTATGTCCATTTGGTCTAATGTATCATTTAAGGCTGATATTCCTTTATTGATTTTCTGTTTGGATGATATGTCTAGAGATGTTGATGGATTTTAAAAAATCTTTTTCACCTATAAGTGGGCACCAGGCATTTGAGCATCTTTTCTTTTATATATACTTTTATATATATGCTTTATATATATGTTTTTAAATTGACTTTACAGAGAGAAGAAGAGAGATAGAAAGAGAGAAAAAACCATCAATGAGATAAACATCGATTGGCTGGCTCCTGCATACCCTGCAATTGGTATCAAGACCACAACCTGGGCATGAGCCCTGACCAGGACCTCTCCTTTCCTCTCTCTCTCAAAATCAATAAAAATATCTTTAAAGAGGCCCTGGCCAGTTTGGCTCAGTGGTTAGAGCGTCAGCCTGCGGTCCAGAGAGGCCCGGGTTCGGTTTCCGCTAAGGGCACGTACCTCGGCCCTGGTTTGTCCCCAGCCCTGGTTAGGTCATGCGGGAGGCAGCCCCTTGATGTGTCCCTTTCACATCCATGTTTCTCTCTCTCTCTCTCTTCCTCTCTCTCCCTCCCAATCTGTCTGAACAAAAAATGGAAAAATGTCCTTGATAGAGGATAAGAAAAGAAAAAAAAAATCTTTAAAGAGAAGCCATTGTGTTTATCTTAGTAAAGAAAATTTATTTAGGAAATTAATTTTGAATAACATTAAACTTATTAAAGTATATATTATCAATAAAGACTTTTTGTTGTCCTAAATTTTCAACTTTCTCTGAAATTGTTGCAGCATACTAAGGTAAGAGTTTTCATTGGCAAATGGACATGGTACTGGCCATTATCAGGGGAAAAAATTATCAATTTTTCAGCTTTGAAAAGTATCAAATTCAAGAGACTGGTGAGCAAGATAGTACTTCGGAAAAAACATGACATGTGGCTACTAAACCTAATAATTTAAAGTCTCTAACATACCTTACTTTCAATGATCTCTATAGAGCTTTTCTCTATCAACTAAACTTACCTCTGGCTTTGCGTTTACATGTGCTTAACACAAGAGGAATGACTATAATTAACAACAGTTATAAAAATGTTGACATTACGTTTTGTTACTTCATTTATTTCCAACCAATAATGAGGGCTGAAAATAAAATCTTGATGACATCAGGAATGTCCATGAAATATAACACTGTGTATACCAGAAACCCAGGACTCTTCAATTTACGAACATGCTTTTGTCTTAGAGGATTTGCGTCTGTAACTCAATAAACCTATGTCTTTACCAGAAGTATTCAGAAGAAGTAATCAAATGGGGCTCAATCAGTTTTTTATTTAAATAATGTTATCTGCATTTCCAGGAATTATGGTCTACTGGTGTTTCACAACTTCCATCAAACCCCACTCAGTTCTAATACCACTAACAGCCGCTAGGGGGAAGACGGAGGACGGCGGCGGAACCGAGACCCCCGGGCCTGACTCCAGGGGCGCCTGCAACGCCTCCATCTTGGCCTCTAAGGCGGGGAGCAGCCTCTGTGTCTCCCTGCTGTCTCCTGCACCGCGCCCTACGCGGACACTGGGAGCAGCCTGTCCCTTGGCTAAATAGCCTAGCGCCGCAGGGGCTGCCCTGGACACGTTGCCCAGCCCCACGGGCCCGGTTCCGAGTAGGTCCTGACAAGATGGAGGGGGCCGTCTCCACCTGCAACCACGACGGGCAGCGGGGCTGCTTCTCACGGGACCAGGCACAGGTGGACGTGCGTCAACCCCACATTGCTCGGGAACCCCTTCGCCCGCCGACCCCACTGGCCTGCGGCAGCCCCTGCCCGGCGGCCCACACAGGACCTCCAGGAAGTGGACAAGGAGGGCGTTGGGAACGTCGAGGCCGCGTTCTTCCCCGGGCAGGTCCGCTAGGAACTGCCGCGACAGCCGGGGCGCCCTGACCTGAGCTAAGACAGGCGGCCGGGTCTCAGTGTCTCATATCGTTCCGACTCAGTTAGCAACTTCTGCCCACCCTTCCCGTTTCCCAGCGACCGAGCTCTTGGCGGGTGCGACAGCCACAAAGGCCACTAGTCGGACGGATTCGGTACTGGGCGAGGCGGGGCGCGGCTCGGAGTAGGGAAGGACAGGGCCCGGGCCCTGGCTGGCAGGAATAGAAACGCCGGGGGTGTGGCCTGTGCCTGATCGACAGCCTCCCGGGCCATCCCTTCAAGGGTCCTGAAGGAAGACAGACGCAGCCAATGGAGGCTCCCCAGGCGCCCCGACCAGACCTCCCCGACAGCCAATGGGGCCGCGGAGGGCGGGGCCTGTCCGGGCTCCACTGTACTGTAGCCTCCGCCTCTTGCTTACAGCGCTAAACCGGGGACTGGACTAAGCGGAGTTGTACGCTTCGCCTGGAGGAGTGGGTCGGGGGAGGGGCGGTTCGTTCCGCGGAACCGTAGCCAGAAACTGGTGAGGCTTGTTTCCACGGTCTTCACATTCCGGGCCGCCGACAGTGGGGGCGGCTGGGCGCAGCGCTGCCTCTGGAGGCGGAGATGGGCGAGGGAGGCCTCCGGGGACTCCCACTAGCCCCGGGCTAACCCCCACCGCTCCCCGGCCCTGGGGGCTAGTCTGGACTCGCTCTTGTTTTACTGCGTGTGGCCTGAGGGCTGCTGGCTCGTGGGTGAGGCCGGGTGGGCCCGGTGAGGACGCTGAGCGGGGACGTGTGGGCATTTTCATTTTTGTCCGGGGGGCGGTAGAGGAGGAACGTCCGGTCCTCTCGCTCTCGGGGCTGCTTCGGAACCTGGGGTCCCCAAGTTTATAGGCGAGGTTCCGCGTCCGCGCCGGGGCCTGCTCCACGCTCCCCTTCAGGTCCTACTGGGGCGCGTTTCTCATGGCGGACGGGGGAGGGGCGCAAGTCTCGGACCCCGCGCAAACGCTTGGGACAAACGTGGGAGATTCAGCTCTGCGGCGATGTGTGCCGCTCCTGCCTTGGTGCCCGGAGTGACGTGGGTGACGCCGGGTGGGTCCATTTTGGAGGGAATACCATTCCCTTGCTGGCGTCGAGACGTTTATGCCGCATCTCCGCAACCCTTCTCTCGAGTAGGCCGGGTGCCTCCGCCCCCTGTTCTGTAGTTTGAAGGAACAGACTTAGCTCTGTCTGGTTGTGCGGTCACCATAGTTTTTTAAAGCAGGTTTCCCCGTCGTATTGGGGATTGATTAGGGCCGGCAAAATAACGCTGAACTCTTTTATTCTTTGTCCCTCTGCTTCCTCCCTCTGCAGAGTAGAAATTGTGCATCGTCCAGGTTGGCTGTAACTAAACCGTTTTTCATCTTTTCTCTCATTTTAGGACTCGGAATCACCTTCAGGCCAATCTGGTGGCGCTTTGGCAGAAATCAAGGAGGAAAATATCCCCTTATGAGTAATTTTACCTTGCTTTTCTGTTTCAAACATTGAGTGCAATAGTATGGTGTTGTTTTGCGGGATTTATCTTTTTGTTATCTTGAAGGCAAAGAGCTAATTGCTTAGGTGGACCCTGTCCCCAGAGCCTATTGGGTCAAACCCCTGGGAAAGCACTGAGAGTGGGTGCTGATACTTAGCACCACTGATATTCTCTAGAGTTCCAAAATAGGACTAAAAGGTAGTTCCATTTTTACAGGCTTTGCATTTAATATTCTTTTCTTCCTTTCCAATGGATACAAAAATTGTTTTGTTTGTGCCCTGGCTGGTTTGGCTCTGCGGTTAGAGCATGGGCCTGTGGTCCAGAGAGGCCTGGGTTCGGTTCCTGCTTAGGGCACACACCTCGGTTGCAGTTTGTCCCCGGGTCTGGTTAGGTCGTGCAGGAGGGAGCCACTCGATGTGTGCCTTTCACATCGATATTTCTCTCTCTCTCTCTCCCCCTCCCATTCTATCTGTTTTGGATTTTTTTTTTTTTTTTGGTATGTGCCCCTAGCGGGAACCGAACCCAGGACTCTCTGGTCCCCAGGCCGACACTCAACTGCTGAGCCAAACTGGCCAGGGCTCCCATTCTATCTGAACAAATAATGGAAAAATGTCCTCGGGTGAGGATAAAAAAAATATATATATATATTATTTTGTTTGCTGTTGAATTAAGAAAAATCTGACTCTCCTGTTGATTTAAAGTTGACAGAATATTTTTGTATGCGTCTGCCTTACATTTAAGGAACATTTGTATACATATATATTTATTATGTTTGTATCGTTTAGGGAGAGAGAGAGAGCGAGAGAAACATGGATGTGAGAGAAACATCATTGGCTGTCTCTTGCACGCGCGCACGCACACACACACACACACACACACACACACCCGGATCAAGCCAAAACCTAGGCATGTGCCCTGATGGAGAATCAACCTGGGACCTCCCTGGGCACAGGCTGACTGTCAACCAGCTGAGCCACACCCACTGCGCTTGAGTCCTTATCTTTAGGTCTTGCCTTTTTTGCTGGTTACTAATTCCACAAAGAAGAGTGTTTCTGAGTGTTATAGAAAAGAGTCTGCTGCCTGGAAGATAGAGGTCTGGATGCAGCTCTCTTGGATCAGGGGGATTGGGGTCATTTCATTTGCTTTGTATTGAAGCATTCAACCTTGCTTGGTGAACACAAGACAAAGATCTTACATTCTATCCTCTCCAGTGACTAAAAGTCTAGAACCTGTGCCAAGGTAGGGAAAGACCTGTCAACATGTAGGGAAGGAAGGGATTGAGGGTTTTTCAACATCCTATTCCAGGGGTATCTGGAGCACTTTAAGGATTCTGTAGCCTAAATCAGAATGTTTCTCAGCCTTTTCCATTACTGTTTTAGAGTTTGGCTCTCAGGTTTGCTGAGTCAGTTAACTGCTCATCCATCTGATCTTCTGCTTAAAAATTTTGTTGTTTTGTTTTTTTTTCCCCTGTGTTATTTATGGAGACTTTATTTTTTTATTTTTTATCCTCACCTGAGGACATTTTTCCATTTTTTGTTCAGCTAGAGTGGGAGGGAGAGAGAAGAAGAGAAAGAGAGAAACACCGACATAAAAGGGACACATCGAGTGGCTGCCACCTGCACAATCCAACCAGGGCCGGGGACAAACTGCAACCGAGGTACGCGCCCTTTGCAGGAACCGAACCTGGGTCTCTCCGGGCTGCAGGCCGACGTTCTAACTGCTGAGCCAAACTGGCCAGGGCTATTTATGGAGACTTTAGAAGGGTATAAAGTTAGTTGTGTGTGATCAATCTACCAACTTCATCCCCATTGATTTCTAGACAGTACATCTGTACTTAAACACTTCAGTAATTTTCTTGATGTTTATGGTAGCTGTTCATTTGCTTCTTCATCCTTCTATCTCATTATAACATAATATCCCTCCAATATCAGTATACACCTTTATTTTGTTTATGACTTTAAATGGGAGTGCTTGTAGTAAATACTCAATAAACAAGGATGTGGTTTTAGAGTTGAGATTATTTTCATGTAAATACATAAAGAAAGCTGTTATCCCTGGCTGGTTTCACTCATTGGTTAGAGCATCGGCCTGCAGACCGGAGAGACCTGGGTTCGGTTCCCGCTAAGGGCACGTACCTCGGTTGCAGTTTGTCCCGGGTCCTGGTTGGGTCATGCGGGTGGCAACCACTCGATGTGTCCCTTTCACGTCGATGTTTCTCTCTCCCTCCCTCTCTATCTGTACAAAAAATGGAAAAATGTCCTCAGGTGAGGATTTAAAAAAAAAAATTGCAACTTTTAATATTTTTTTCTTAATTGATTTTAGAGACATAAGGGAGAGGGAGAGAGAGATGTTCCGCTGGGCTTTTGCAACATTTAAAAACCATATTTTTAAAACTGTGACACCAAAGCATAATTTATCTAGAGGTAGTTTGCATTTGAGTCCTGCTTTGGTTTCATCCTAACTTTTTGTGTAGTAGTACAATTTTGTATCAACTTCTCTGTGCAGATTTTCCTTTTATCTTACATTAATTTTCACTGTATCGTACAAAATTAAAATCAAACATTAAATAATTATAATTTGTAGATAAATGAGATACAACAAGACTAGGTAAATGTTTAAGATTACTTAGATGCTTGTTGAAATTCTAGGATATAGGCCAAGGATTTGCCTAAATATTGTCCCACGGGACATGGATTTAATGTTTGCACTATTTTTTTGTTATTCTTAATCCTCACTGGAGGACATTTTTTCCATTCATTTTTAGAGCGTAGAAGCAAGGGAGGGGGAGAAAGAGGAACATCAATTTGAGAGAGACACATTGGAACATGGATTTGAGAAAGACACATCGATTGGTTGCCAACTGCACAACCCCAACCAGGGATTGAACCTGCAACCCAGGCACGTGCCCCTGATGGGGAACTGAACTTGCTACCCTTCTTTTTTTTTTTTTAATCCTCACCCGAGGACATTTTTTCGTTTTTTCTTCAGACAGAGTGGGAGGGAGAGAGAGGAACATCGATGCGAAAGGGACACATCGAGTGGCCGCCACCCGCAGGACCAACCAGGGCCAAGGGCAAACTGCAACCAAGGCACGTGCCCTTAGCGGGAACCGAACCCGGGTCTCCCTGGACCACAGGCCGACACTCCAACCGCTGAGTCAAACCAGCCAGGGCTGAACCTGCTACCCTTCTGTCCTCAGGCCGAGGCTCTAACTGCTGAGCAAAACTGGCCAGGGTTGTTTGCATTCCTTAATATGGCCCAGGCAGAGACTAGGGACTTGTATGTTCAGTTATCTCAGTTAGAACCTCAGGGTCATATATTATCCCCATTTACAGTTCATAGTTTAGAAAACTAAAACTCATTGAGGCGAAATAATTTGTTCAGTGGCACACAGATAATTAGGAAAACTAATGTTTTCTCTATTTTTGAATTGTAGAAATAGAGAAAACTTCTCTGTAGTTTTATGTTTATGGAATTAACAGAGTGATGGATGGTTAAATTAAATGTACAATAGCTTTTAGTAGTAGTGTACTATATTATAATCTGGGATTTTGAAAATAGATGAATACTTAAATCTTTTGTTAGAGGTAGATGACTGCAGTGAGCTGAGCATAAACAGAATGCCCTTGTATTACTTTCTTTGAGAAGACTGAGATAGGACATTGGATATAGCAGCCACAAGAGTCTCATGTGCAGTCTGCTACAGTTCTTTTCCAGAAATTGTTCTTTTCTCTTTTGCATTTTTTCAAATATTGAAAGGACTGAGAGAGTTTGTATATAACAGTTCTTATATTTCATAATTCATTGGAGGCTAAATTATTGCCTCTTGCCTCTGAAAATCAACCACATATTAAGTTTACTGAAGGAGTGTTGACCACGGTCCCAATTTTTGTGTTCATTTTGTAATCCTCTTATACTGGTTCTTTAGATTCATTATTTCTGCATCTTTGAAATAGACTTACTTGAATGTTGATTTTTGTCTTAATGAATTTACTCATTATGATAAAAGATAAGTGATTTTTTAAAATTGTTTTATACATTGTTGGCATATAACGTGGTGGCTATGAGATAGGTGCTGGAGTCAGATTTCTTGGATTTGAATCCTGACTCTGTCCTTACCAGCAATGGAGAATTGAGTAGGCCAGGCAGATTCCTTATCTTCTAAGTCTTAGTTTCCTAATGGGTAAAGTGGGAAAAAGAATACTTCCTACCTCGTGTAACCATTAACTGAATTAATATATTACTGACATAGCACCTATTAAGAATAAATGTTACCTATTATATGACTATAACTATTATTAATTACTTGGAAAATTTTTAGAATAGAAATGTTGCTTAGCATATTTCAATATGAGATGTTTAAAATGGAATGATGGCCCTGGCCAGTTTGGCTCAGTGGTTAGAGCGTCGGCCCGCGGTCCGGAGAGACCCGGGTTCGGTTCCCGCTAAGGGCACGTACTTCGGTTGCAGTTTGTCCCCGGCCCTGGTTGGTCGTGCGGGTGGCAGCCACTCGATGTGTCCCTTCACGTCGATGTTTCTCACTCTCTCTCCCTTCCTCTCTGTCCCTCCCACTCTGTCTGTACAGAAAATGGAAAAATATCCTCGGGTGAGGATAAAAAAATAAATAAATAAATAAATAAATAAAATGGAATGATGACTGCCAAATTGAGGGGTTTTTTTTAATTATTATTTTTTTAATCCTTACCCAAGGGTATTTTTCATTTATCTTTAAGAGAAGGAGGGAGAGAGAAAGAAACATCGATGTGAGAGAGACACATCGATTGGTTGCCTCTTGGACGACCCCAACTAGGGCTGGGGACCAAACCACAACCCAGGTACGTGCCCTTGACCGGACCTGACCCGCGACTCTTTGGTATTTGAACCGACGGCTCTAACTGCTGAGCCAAACCAGCCAGGGCAAATAGGTTTGTTTTTTTTTAAAACATTTGACACCCATACAGCCCTGGCCAGTTTGGCTCAATGGTAGAGCACAGGCCTGCAGACCAATGAGTATTGGGTTTGATTCCAACCAAGGGCACGTACCTTGGTTGCAGTTCGTCCCAGGCCCTGCTTGGAGTCGGAGGGAGGCAACCAATCAATGTGTCCCTCTCACACCGATGGTTCTCTCTCTCTCTCCCTTTCTTTCCCTCTTTCTCCCTCCCACTCTATCTGAAGATAAATAGAAAAATTTCTCCAGGTGGGGATTAAAACAAAAACAAAAACATTGATACCTATATAGTTCTCACCTCCTTCACTCTCGAGTTTCTAGCTAAGAAAATCGAGGCCATCATGGATAAACTTACCTCAGCTTTCCACCTATCATTTTTACATATTTATAAACATTCCAGTTATTATAATTTTTTTCCCTCTGATCTTTGAGAGACAGGTGATTTCTGTGCAAGATCAATTTCATTGCCACCTATGCTCATATCGTCATCTTACCTGCAAGAGCCTTGCTTTATTGATTATTTACTTCTCCATATTCTTCAACTGTGTCCCTCTGTTGGAAAACATAGTATAATGTCAGATGATTCCTGAACAAGGACAGTGATTCAGAAAGATTTAATCATATTTATGTTGGAAGTAGAGAATTTTTAAAACAATGACAAAATACTAGGGAAATAGGGATTGGACAATAACAGTCATTTTAGTAGATAGAAGTATATGTACTATACTGGTTATGTTTGCAGTCTAGATTATTAGTACCTGATAAATTATTTTTTTACTGTTTTGTATTTCAAAGGAAGATAGGTATTTTTTTCCTACAAAGGGTAAATAGGCTAAATTGAGTACAACAGGTCCTCAGAAATGTTTCATTGATGAGATGATGTAGGAACTTAGCTGTTGTTTATATCCATTAGCCTATGTTTGTTTGTTTTTTCTCTCACTCGAGTATATTTTTGCATTTATTTTCAGATAGAGCAGGAGGAAGAGAAGAGGGAAGAGAGAGAAAGAAACATCAGTGTGAGAGACACACTGAATAGTCGCCACCTACACGACCCCAACCTGGGCCAGGAACATACTGGAACCGAGGTACGTGCCCTTAGCAGGAATTGAACCCGGGACTCTGGTTCGTGGGCCGACGGTCTAACTGCTGAGCCAAACTGGCCAGGGCTCTATTAGCCTATGTTAAAAGTGGTTTCCTGAAATGTTTCCCTTAAAGTCACACAACCTATTGATGATGTTAAATGAGGACTTTACTGTTAGTTCAATAAATATTTTTTTTTTGAGGACTACCAAAAATTGGATAATTAATTTGCATAAAACTCTGAAGAAGTAAGCATTATATGGTTAATGGGAGAGGAAAAACAAAATGGGTGGCATTTTTTGCCTAAAAGTTAGATAAAAATCACATAAAGAATAGAATTTAAGCCCTGGCCAGTTTCGCTCAGTGGTTGAGCGTCGGCCTGCGGACCAGAGTCCCGAGTTGGGTTCCTGCTAGGGGCACGTACCACAAAAAAAAAAGAATAGAATTTAAAATGTCATTTGTGTCCAACCAGTGTGGTTTAGTGGTTGAGCGTCGACCCATGCACCAAGAGGTCGCAGGTTTGACTCCTGGCCAGGACACATGCCCAAGTTGTCATCCTGATCCCCAGTGGGGAGCACGCAGGAGGTAGCCAATCGATGTTTCTCTCTCTCTCACTTCCTCTTTCTATAAAATCAATACAGGAAAAAATATATTTTTTAAAATATCATTTGTGCTAGTTCTTGCAATAAAATGCAATAACCATAATATATTATAACTTTTTTCTTTTCCCTTTCTTTGTCTCTCAGGTTCTTTGGCATGGACACAGGTTCAGTGGGAGGATTAGACTTGACTGAACAGACTCCTGTGTTATTAGGGAGTAAAGCCATGGCAGCTAATCTCACTGACACAGGAAATTCATTTGGTCATCCAGCTAGTCCTTTAGTTAGATCTAGAAACTCATCTGAGGAAGATGATGATGATGACGTTGTGTTTATTGACTCTATACAACTCCCTTCAACTTCTTCAGCAGTAGCTGATCAAAGAAATTTTACATTTGCTTCATCAAGCAATGGAAAGCTACAAGGAAATGATTCCATAATTCTTCCTTCCTCAAGAGATTTGGCTTCTCAGAAGGGAAATATAAGTGAGACTATCGTTATTGATGATGAAGAGGACATAGAAACAAATGGAGGGAAAAAGAAAAATTCTTTCAGTTTTATTGAATGGGGACTTCCTGGAACTAAAAACAGAACCAAAGATGTGGATTTCTCTACTTCCAGTCTTTCAAGAAGAAAGGTAAATGCAGGAATGGGTAATAGTGTTATCACTACAGAATCGACTCTGAAATTCAGATTGCTAATGTTACGGTCTGCTTAGAAACAGGTGTAAGCTCTGAATGCTGGGCGAGATATGAACTTAATGATTACACTTGTAACATCACTATAGAATACCAACTTGGGAGATGTCGTTAAAGGACTTCAGTCAAGTAATATTGGTGTTAATATGCAAACATACACCCCATCTTTAACTTCACAGACCAAGACTGGAGTAGGACCTTTTAATCCTGGTAGAATCAATGTGGCAGGAGATGAATTTCAGAACGGAGGATTTGCAACTCATCATAGTCCTGGTAAGCTGTGAGTGATCTTCTACCCCAAATACACTTTTGGCTGTTATTTTTAGAGTCCATATCTATTTCATTTACATTCTATATGTGAAACTTTTTCTTTCTCTTGACTTTCATTTTAGATAGAATATTTTACTTAATAAAACTGTGTAGTCTATTTGGTCTCTGAATTTTTGGAAATTTAATCTATTTTACCCATTGTGGTTTACATCTAAAGTGTTTTATATTTTTATTTTTTATTTTTTTTAGAGAGAGAGGAATGGAGAGAGAGGGAGAGAGATAGAAATATTGATGAGAGAGAACATCGATTGACTGTCTCCTGCGTGCCCCCCACTGGGTATGGGGCCCCCAACCTGGGCATGTGCCCTGACCGGGAATTAAACCGGCGAACTCTTGGTGCATGGGTCGATGCTCAAGCACTGAGCCACAGTGGCTGGGCCATCTAAAGCGTTTTAATTGAAAACTCCATAACCACTGCCACCGCCCTTGTTTACTATTGTCTATTTTAATGTAAAAATAATAGAATATAAAGGTGGGTTGAACTGAAGGAATATAAATTAATATTATGTAGTAATTTTTATTTCATTTATAATAAGTAACTTGAAATTTCAATTTTTGCTTGACAGGTGTTTATTTTTGGACTGCTTGTCTTTGGTTTTAATTTTTAAATCAGCATTTTATTGCTTAATTTTAAAGGATTTTGCCTTTGATTCACATATCTATATTTTTAAAAGTCTTGTTCTGTAAAAATTAAGATCTAATGAAAGTTATTTAAAACTTAGCAAATCTTCTGGTGGCTTTTTTATGTACGTGGGGTTTTGAAGGGATTTTTTTTGTTTTTTAGAGGCGAAGGGTGTTGTTGGCAATGGTTTTTGGCCTTTTTAGTGCTTTTTAGGTATTACCAACTTAGAATTTTGGGAAAGGACTGAAAAGCAACTAGAGCTAAGAACCTAGTCACTTAGTGCTTTATTGGAATGCTAGTATTTTTTTTTTCCTAATTATTATTTTTCTCTGATTGTGAGAATACTACGTGGTTATTATAGAATATTTGGAAAAAATTATAATATCTGTCACCTTACGCAACTAACCAGAAGGGACCACTGTCAAAATTTGGGTTTGTTTGCTTTCAGTGTTTGCTTCTGTGGTTTTAAAATAACATCATTTAGAGTATATTATATATAGTTTTGTATTTTGTTGACTTACTTAGGCTAAATTTTAGTATGTTATGTCATTTTAAGTATAGAAGCTTCAAGCAGGCCTGTATGTTCAGTGGTTAGAGTGTTGTCCCCCACACTGAAAGGTCCTGGGTTCGATTCTAGTAAAGGGTACGTACCTGGGTTGCAGGTTTTATCCCCACCACAGTTGGGGTGCATGCGGGAGGCAGCAGATCAATGTGTCTCACATCAATATTTATCTCTCTCTCACTTTCTCTCTCTCTCCCCCCCCACCTCTCCCTTCCTCCCTTCGTCCCTCCTTTCCACTCTAAAAAAATCAGTGGGAAAATATCCTCCAATGAGGATTAACAAACAAACAAAACAAAAAAAAATAGAAGTTTCATGTCTGAGGTACTCATTCCTCTACTTTCTTTTAGCATTTATCTGGTTTCCCTTATTTTATCCTCACCCAAGATTATGTCTTTATTGATTTTTAGAGAAAGAATAACGGGGGGAGAGAGACACATCATTGTGAGAGAGACAAATCAATCAGTTGCTTCTCGCACTCGCCCCAGCTGGGCCGGGGATTAAACCCACAGCCTAGGTATGTGCCTGGTCTGGGAATCAAACCCACAGCCTTTTGGTATATGGGATGATGCTCTAACCAAGTGAGACACCCAGCAAGGGCTGATTGCCCAGTTTTTACTGCTGACTTTTTTTTTGTCTTTTTGTGTGACTTTGTTGTTGTTCTTGACACTATTACAGATGTTTGCCTGCCTTCTGCCTTCACCTCATTGTTATCTGTGTCCATTGGGTTTTTTTGTTTGTTTGTTTGTTTGGACATGGCATCAAAATTTGACAAGTGGGTCCAGCCAGTGTGGCTCAGTGGTTGAGCGTTGACCCATGCATCAAGATGTCGCCGGGTTGATTCCCAGTTAGGACACATGCCTGGGTTGTGGTCCCGATCCCTAGTGCGAGGCATGCAGGAGGCAGCTGCCAGCTGATGTTCTCTCTCATTGATGTTTCTATCTCTCTCTCTCCCTCTCACTTCCTCTCTCTAAAATCAATAAAGAAAAAAATAATAAAAACTTAACAAGTGGTAGTTTCTTAAAGGTTCTAATAATGAGGAATTTTTCTTTATTTTAATTGTCATCTGAGGATATGTTTTTATTGATTTGAGAGAGGAAGGGAGAGAGAGAAACATTAATGTAAGAGAAACATTAAACAGTTAGTTGCCTCTCATTTGTGCCTCTTCCACGACTTCGGTATTTGCCCCAATTGGGAATCAAACCCACAAATTTTTGATGCATGGGACTACACTCCAACCAACTGAGCCACCTGGCCAGAGCCAGTTTAACTACATAATGCACTTTTCTTATTCTATTACATTAAAATCTGTTTATCTCTGAATGGATCTTTTACTGTGCATTTAGTTATTTGGAAAATACCAATTCACTGAGTTATACAGATCTTGTAAATGTTGACCCTTTAGAAAGCTGGCCAGCTCACAGTGCTGGACACATGTTTTCAGGGGTCCTAATTTTCACCTGAAATGTCAGATTTTCTCATTGGCATCAAATGTTGTAATTTTTCTTGTAGTGACAAGCTCATTTGATTTCTTTTCTTTTTCTTTATTTTTTTGTATCCTCACCTGAGGACATTTTTGCATTCATCATCAGAGTGGGAGAGAGAGAGGGAGGAAGAGAGAGAGAGAAACATCAATGTGAGAGAGACACATTGAGTGGCTGCCACCCACACGACCCCAACCGGGACCGGGGACAAACTGCAACCGCGGTACATGCCCCCTTAGCGGGAACCGAATCTGGGTCTCTCTGGACTGTGGGCTGAAGCTCTAACCGCTGAGCCAAACTAGCCAGGGCCTCATTTGATTTATTTTCAAGAAAATATCTGTCAATAGCCAGTTTGTCAGCCATTCTTTCAAGTAAAAATGATAGCCTTTCCTGAAAAAAGGCTAGTTCAGTTTGCAGGGCAATAAATTTGTGAGTACTTTTCCACTGTTCCTTAAGGACAACCATTGTATTTTAGTATGAAATAGAATTGGATTTTGCATGTTTTCTGTTCATCATACAGAATATCAAGGTATAGTCAAAGGCTGAAATTTAGTAAAATTAATACTAATTTCACTGTTTCATCAAGAGCATCTGTTGTATAATAAATAATTTCACTGGTCTTTATGCTTCATTCTTGGGAGAAATACTAAGTCCTTGGAATTAGGAATGTCTTTTCTATTCATGACCCCTTGGAACATGCCTGAGTTTGCGCTGAGGGATGAGATGACTAAGGCTGAGGGAGGGTCACCAGAAAAACCAACCATGTGATGAGAGTGCTGTGACTTTAAGCCAGCCCAGCCTTTAAGGGAGGAGAGGGAGGCTGGAGATTGAGTCCATTCACATGTAATGAATAATTCTATCAGTCAAACCTACACAGTGAAACAACAATAAAAAGTATACTGCATACTGAAGCTCAGTACACCCTCCTGGTAGATGAACTCATCAGTATGCCAGGTGGTTGATGCACCTGATTCCACAGAGAATGGGCACAAAAGCTCTGCATTTGGGTCCCTTCCAGACTTCATCCTATATGTCTTCATTTGGCTAGCCCTGATTCGTATCCTTTATAATAAAACCATGATTATAAGTATAGAGTTTTTCTGAGTTCTGTGAGTCATTCTAGCAAATTATTAAACCTGAAGGGGGTTTTAGGAACCTCCCAGATTTATAACTAGGTGACCAGAAGTACACGTGGCATCTGCAGTGAGGGTAGTTTTGTTGAGGACTATACCTTTAACTTTGTGGGGTCTGATGCTGAGTCCAGCTGGTTAGTATCAGAATTGTATTAACAGTTTTGTGTTGGAATAATAACCATAAATGAAGATGATATTTTTTCTTTCTTTCCTACAAGTGTGTGCTAGTGAAGAAAACTACTCAGCAGTTTTACCCATCATTGCTTTTGCACCATTAGTGCAAATACCAACACGGTGAGCAAGGCAAATAATCTTAGTATTGTTATGGAAATATTTCGGCCTTCTAGGTCCCCTTTTTATTTCTTTTTCTAATATAACATTTGTTAGAAGTGGTAAAAGTATAAACCCTTGTCTTGTTCCTGACTTGGATATGGGGGAAGCACTTGACATTCCATTGTTATGTATTAGTTCCTGACAAATATGATGAGCTCTTTATGTTTATATATATCTATATCTATATCTATCTATCTATATATAGTTTATTTTATTTTTTTGTATTTATATTCAGATAGAGCAGGAGGGAGGGGGAGGAAGAGAGAGAAACATCAATGTGAGAGAGACACATCGACTGGTTGCCACCCACATGATTCCAGCCAGGGCTGGGGATGAACCGCAGCCAAGGTACAGCAAATGCCCTTAGCGGGAACGAACCCAGGACTCTGTGGCCCGCGGGCTGACCCTCTAATTGCTGAGCCAAACTGGCCAGGTCTATGTTTATATTTTATTTAATAACTTGTTATTTGAGGTTGTTTCTAGTTTTTTTATTCTTTCCCAACTGGGGATTGAACCCACAACCTAGGTGTGTGCCCTGGCTGGGAATCGAATGTGCAACCTTTTGGTGTAAGGGATGATGCGCCAATCAACTGAGCCGTCGAGCCAGGGCTGTTTCCAGTTTTCTTACTTTTAAACAGGGTTCTCAAGCATATCTCTTGCCCTGGCCGGTTTTGCTCAGCAGTTAGAGCCTCAGCCACAGACCATAGAGTCCTGGGTTCAGTTCCCGCTAAGGGCACGTGCCTCAGTTGCAGTTTGTCCCCGGCCCCAGTTGCGGTCATGTGGGTGGCAACCAGTCAGTGTATCTCTCACAT